ATATTCTAAAATATCAAATTGTCTTAATATTCTCCGTTTGGGATAGATAAACAACTGCAGTTTGAAGTCATTTGATTCATTCGAAAATATTTCAACTTATTTGATTTTTATCATTGAAATATATTCCTCATTTATTCTTTTGATTAACTTATAGACATAAATATTATTTTCTATAGAGATCTTTTTTACACATTTGAATGATCCTTTTATTAAGATTTTTATAATAAAAAGGTAAATCAATATTATACTTTTCAAATAGTCGAAAAATAAAACTAATATATTGAATGACAATCTCGTCATTTCACAAATAAACAACTATCTCATCAATAAATATACTTTTTAAATAATAAAATAACTAATTTTTTTTTTTTTGAAATATTATTTTTCAAGTATTTTATTCTTATTGAGTAAGTATATGATTAATAATTTCATAGAATAAGATAACAAATATATTTTATATTATTGATAAGAGAATATTTTCTTTACTGAAATAGTAAATTAAATGACAAACTAATCCACATAATTACTCTATGAGAATGTTTATGCTATATTATTAGTCAAAAATGTGACAAGACAATATTCTTCAACCTATAAAATTCTAATATAAGTTTCATTTATTTTAACTTTTCAAAAAATTCATTATCACAAAGAACAATTAGCAATTATTCGAACTTATTCAATTAGAATTTACAATCGGAGAGATTCTTATAAATGTTTTTATCAGCATAATTAATTCTTTGTAGACAATCATTCTCTCTATATATAATGTCAATATGTTCTTTCCTTTAGTTTTATCTTTGTAGAGTTAAACAAAGATTCTCATATGACGTTTAATACGATTGAAATAACAAAAAAATTTCAATGATGTTTATCATCTATCGTTTAATATACGAAATAAAGTAAACATCTAATTACAAGAGTTCTTCTTTTTTTTCTTTCTCTGCATGAGACAAGATACGAAAAAAAAGAAACTTATTCTTTAGATCTTGACTTGCAACAACAATGACAAAGAAGAAAAAACAAAAATAACAATATGATGAAAGAAAAAAATAGAATTTTTTTTAAAAAACAAAGAAATAGATGAAATAATAGATATGTTAATTATGTTAATAATGATCAGGATAAAATGGTAAATGATCAATATAATTATGTTCTTGATTATTTGTAAATAGATGAATTGAGGAAGCATCTTCCATACGCCAAATACAAAATGCGTAACTTAATGTATTTTGTTTAAATTGTGTTGTTGATGGTGATTCTTTATGAAAAATAAAATATTCTTGTTGATTATTTGAATGTAATATTTTATAAAGAAAATCAATATAACGTGTTGCCAATTTTAATGTTTGAATTTTTGATAATTTATCTGATGGTAATCTTGGAATAATAAGACGAAGATGTGCAAATGCATCATTTAATGATTGTGTACGTTGTCGTTCACGTACATTAGCAATAGAACGTTGCTTTTCGAAATCATTTTTTGAGATTCTTTCTAATTGTTGTTGTTGTTGTCGTTTTGATCTAGATGATTTAGGATTTAATCGATGTTCTAAATATATTCTAGGATGTTTAGTTTGATCTTGAGTATTTTCATGAATATTTATATATGTTGATTGGCAATTTAAATTTGATTGAGCTTGACTATTATTGATTAATCTTGATGAATAATTCGATTTAATTAATGAATTTAATTTTCTTTTATTGAAATCTTCAATATGAATTGATGAAGAATTATAATCCATTTCATTTATTGTTTATTAAATTAAAAAATTTCATTTAATTCAATATTTAATTCTTCTTTTTTTGTTTATATATCCTATAAGAATAATTATCTTCTATAGTTGTTTATATGTAAACGATTATATTCATCTCTTTAACATATCATATAAACATTTTTATATTGTTGATCTAATACTGACAAGTAAATATAGAACTAGTCATCGTCTCACACACATCTTTTATATAAAAATATAGAACAACAAGATTTCTTTTTTTTTTCTTTTTGTTTTTTTGATTGTCGTATCTTATGTTGATTGGTTGTTGATATTTATTTATGATGGAAGAGAAGATGAAAAGTGATCCATTCTTGTCTTGGAAAGAGGTTATTAGAACAGATATAAGAAAAAAAAGAATATTCTATTGGTGCATTTCTTTTTTTATTTGTTAATTAAAAATATTTTCTCTTAAAGATAAAATATATTTCAAAAAGTGTTCATTTTAAAACTAAGATCATCTTTAACAATAATATTATCCTTATATGATTTGATAATACTTACAACAAATTTCATATACTTCCAATTGCTATAGATCTATTCGTTTAAATTCTAAGAGAATATATATATAATTGAATAAGTCATTTTTTAATGAAGATTGGAATGCGATTTAATTGTTTTATTAATGTTATCGTTTGTTATATAGAACAATTGACATCTATCATTAAGATTTATTTTTCTGCAATTATATTCTTTTATGTTTAACATATGGACATTTCTCGTCTATCTATCGTTATCAATACAAATCAACATCACATAAATATCTTCTTACATGTTTTTTTTTAAACAAAAATACTTCAAGTCATTCGTTGAGATTTTTAGTTTTTGCTTTAGAGATAATACTATTGGACAATTTTATTAAGATTAATAGACAATTAACATAGAAGTGTCGAGAACTAGCTACGATTGAAGGAGCTGATCATTCACAAGGTCGATTGGAAGATTTTTTTTATCAAGTTATTTGAGTTTTCGAAGAAGAAATCAATGTTTTTGGAGTCAGTGAGCGAAAAACTATAAAACACTAAAGCTTCGATGGAGAAAAACGAAGATTTTTCAAGATTGCAAGCACACTTTCGCTAGGAAACATTCCTAAATGGTGGACATCAACAGAGTAAAATAATATATTTATCTAGTATGAATAGCTTCAATTATGTGAAATAATTATCTAATTAACAGATAATAGACTTTTATTCGAATCATTTTTATTTTTATTTTTATTTAAAGACAGATATTATTTAGTTATATAGATTGATACATTTTATCTTATAGCGTCTCATATATTTTATAGTATGAATATGAGAATTATTCTCGAAATTTATCTTTAAAGAATTTCATTGATGATTTTATTTGAAAAACTCTTTTATAGAACAATATTGAAAATTACTAATAGCAAAACAATTTCAATTGTTGGATATTCACTTAAACCTCTTGTAATTTAGTATTAAAAAAATGTTTACTATTGATTTACATTTTAAATGACAATTATTATATTGAAATTATTGTTTGAAAAAGAATTCAATAAATATAAAATAGTTCATTTACTACACTGAAAAAAAATGAATCGAATAATCTGAAACTAGATTGGAACTACAATTCTTTGTTTGTTTCTATCTTTTAACCCGTATGACAATTTACAATCAAAGTATTTACTAGAAAAAAGATATTACATTTTATATAAACATAAGAACTATTATCATTTTTAAAATAGTTTTTGTTATATGATTGAATCCCTAGAAGATATTGAAAAGTGTACTATGGATATAACCAGTAGTCGAAAATTTCAAATAGTTTTATTCCTTATTTATTCTAGTGCAATTTCGAGTCCTTTCAAAATTGTATTCTATTGGCCACTTATTTTTGACACGTCGATACTCGTCGAAGTTTAAAATATTTTCCATGAGGAAATCTATCGGAGTTTCGACTATTCGACGAAAAGAAACATATCAAAAGAATACTTTTGAGAATTTCATTAAAAGTTAGTCAAGTACAATAACAGTTTCAACTGATGAGTTTACTTTTGATAAGATAAAATTTGTTCAAAAGGCAATTTTGAAATATTTTTTTGACTTTTATTGAACAATCTTACTAGAATTTATTATGTTCGACATATATTTCATGTTAATTTTATCATTCTCTAAATAATAATTAAAATAAAATGTTGAAAATTATGACCGAAATCCATCAACATTCTCTGTGAAGACACAGTCATAATCAATTTTTACGTTTTGAACTTTTGAAAAAATTTCGAAATATTTCTTTAATATTTTATTACACAAATCAATTGATTATCAAATACGCTTTTTATATCAAATCTCAAATTGAAGGAAAGTTTTCTTTGATCGAGAGATGTGAAAAAACTTTTTTTTTCTCTTAAATAAAAAAAAAATATGATTTTTTTTTTCAGATAATAGCAAATGTTACAATAAGAAAGTGGATGGTGAAATTCTACTGTTTTTATCAATTGAAAAGATGACTTTCATAGACGAATAATAGTTTATATTTAGTTTAGATGTTCAATGAAAGTTAATCATAAGTATTCATGTCCAAATCTTCTCGTCCGCGTATATTCGACAGGTTTTGACGACTTGAGAATATAAAGCATCTATCAGGCAAAATCTTTTTTATTTTGATCAAATTTGACATCCTTGGAGATTGATCGTCGAAATAACCGAATATCGAGCTCTTAACCTATCGAAAAAGGACAATCCGAGAACTCTATTATGATATTTCAATGTCTATCAAATGATTGGTTGAACTTCTAATAAAATATTAATGGAAGATAAAACAATATATGAATTTTTATGTCGATCTCTAATATGAATCCTCTTATATTGCCTATATACAGTTTCACTTTCGAGATCCCTAATGATACCGACTGAGTGTAAGTTAGTGCAGACTGATATCAGTGTTGATTGAATCATTGAAAGACATCACTATAAAAAAGAGGCATATTTTCATAGAGTTGATGTTTCAATGTTGTAGCAAAGGCGAATGCGTAGTTTAGTAAGTACTTCAGTGGATCCTCTGTTGACGATTCATTGTTCAGTATTCCCATGAAGATTGTATATTTGTATATAATATAACATAAATGAATACGTTATTTTATTATGAATTTTATAATAAAAATGAGATATTATCATTATAATGAAAAGTGTATTTTATTTTAATAAGAAATATAAAATAAAAAAAAATGTAAATTCACTTGAAAATAAACATAAAAAAAATGGTTTATAATCTTTTGTTTTTTTCAAATGGTAAATAAAATTGTTTTTTAAGAATTTGATTAAGACGTTGAGTTTCATTTGATTGATTCTGATAATTGTTATCTTGTATAGAATTAATTGGTCGTTCTTTAATTATATAATCAATTGAAGTTAATGGTTGTTTAAGAAGATGATTATTTAATTTTTGTGAAAATCTTCTTTTTAAATTAATATTTGAATTATTAATCGAAGTTTTTGTATGTAAAATAGGTGTTTCATGTATTTTATATGAATTAAATGTATTTGAATCAATTTGTGTATCGATTGTTGTTATATCATTATCATTAATTGATGATGAACGACTTAAACGTCTTGTAAATTCCATAAAATGTGGCATTGTTATTATTGATGGTGATATATTATTTATTTGATCAATTTCATTTCTATTTAATGATTTAGTATTTTCTTGTTGAAAACGATGAAGAATTTTTAATCGTCTTTGTGGTAAATTTTGAAATATTGGTGTTTGTAATGAAATATTATTTGTCATTATTTGATTAGATGATGAATTAACTAATTCATTATGTGGATATGAAACAAGTGAACTTGTTCGTTTTATATGCAAATTTTTATCAATCACATTTGAATTATCGATTTGTGAACGATTACTTTTTGTTAAATAAATACCTTAAACAATTTATTTCAAAATTTATTCATTTGAAAATTTGTTATAGTTTACCTGTTCCTATATCGGTATCACATTCATCACTCTAAATTTATTTTATATTAAATATAATATCAATATATCTTATATCAAATTATTGATTGAGTAATGAAACTTGTTATTTTCAATGCTAATTCACAGTGAACATCAATTCACTAACATTTCAATATACAGGGTGATCCAAATGTTATTTGACAGTCTTTCATTGAGAATAAATTTTCATATGAATAACGATAGACAGCTGCGGTCTTCACTATTCGAAAGAGGAGATGAGGATATATAGAATTATATATTATACGTGTTTTGTAAGATGTGTCCTAGAGTTTTCTTAGTCACTTTTCTAAAAAGATTGCGAAAAAAATCGTTTCGAATAAAATAAGAAAAACGCGTAAAAGTGATTTTTTCACAGAAATTAATAGAAAAATCGGCTCAGAATTTTGAGTAGAATACCTACAACTTCTTTAGAAGTAACTTTCAAAGTCTGGCCTTTGTACAGTTTTGTCGGTTTTCGACTAGCGGTTCGAATGCACACTTTATCAGAATAAATTCAGTCTTGTCACCTTACAGAGTACATTGATTTTCAAAAACGTCACGTTAGATCCTTGAAAAAACTAAATCAAATTATCTTATATTATATAGTTCAATGCGTCTTCATCTCCTCTTTCAAATAGTGAAAATCACAACTCTCTGTCTTATCCCTATCAAAAGTTATTCGCAATCAAATACTGTCCAATTACTTTTGAACCACCCTGTAGAACATTAAATATAGGAACAATTTTCACATTTGAAATATGATGTGACATCTTAAAATTCAAAACATGATGTTTGGCATAAATATTCTTTTCTTACAGAGAAAGTATCCCAAGTGATTAACCACTTTTCAGCTCATACTTTGAGCACATAGAGGGATCCTCTATACTAGAATAATCCTAAAAGGATTTGGATCCATGGTTCTTATCAGCTGAGATATTGAATATTCAAGTTTTAGCAGATGGAAAGAATTTCGATTCTCTATTGCGATTATCTTGAAAACAAAAATATGCTGTTAACCAGAAATTTCATGATAAACTGACTGCATCATCAGCAAATTACTATGAAATTTCCAGATTTTATTTCATTTCTATAAGTCACAGCCATTTTCTTGGAATCCTAGACAGAACAAAATCAAGTTTTTATAGATATCACTTTTTAAAAAATCATAGCATCACACTAGAAGATAGCTCATATCTAATTACGATAGTGAGATAAGCTTCAAAGACATATTCAACGCAGAGTGATTTTCAGCAATGACTGCATTGAATAAATCATAATAAACGATAGTTCAACTGTTTGCAAACATTAGCATCAATATTAGACCAAACTTTGTTGATAGACTTAAAATCTCCTGGATGCTGATCGATGTACCCTGATGCGACTCATGCATACTTTATCATAGGTATGAATTGAGGCGACAACAATTGATTGTCAATAAGAGAATTCAACTGTACTATATTATTTTGTTAAGATAAGTTAATGACGATATCGTCAAGTTGAATATCAACGAATATACATCGAGCGAACAACTTTCATTGTCTGTTGAAGTAGATGTCAAGTGGTCAAATACGTGACGTAGTGTCAGCTGGTATTTCTAGTCTCTTACATCCGGAGGGTATTACCAAAATTTACTCTAACTCACTCCAACCTCTGTTTAATTCGAAGATATTATCAATCGATAGAGCTTAAAATTCTCGACTCGGGAGACTTCACTCTAAGCCATTTTATTTAAAAAACTCCGAACAAAAAAAACTCAAATATCATTTCAAGCGATCCATTCTAAGCTACTCCAATCCACGCTAATCCATGGTCATTTACAATGGAAAATTTGTGTTGTCAGTTACTAAGATTAGACATATTCGGGTCAAATTAACAAATTGAAAATATGAGCTACTGTTAACTTGTAGGGACGGAGATAGTCTTATTCTAATATGTACAGTTTATGTAAGATGTCTGTAATTCAAAATTTCAGTAGAGTCTATTTTTGTTTTTTCGTGATCGTGGAAAAGTCAATAGCAGCTCATATTTTCAATTTATTAGTTTGACGGTGAGAATTTTAATTTGATCCGAATATGTCTAATCTTATCAATTGACAACACAAATTTTTCCATTATAAATGACCATGAATCAGCGTGAGTTGGAGTGGCTTAGAATAGACTGCTCGAAATGATATTTGATTTTTCTTTTTGTTCGAAGTTTTTTAAATAAAATGGCTTAAAGCGAAGTCTCCTGAGTCGAGAATTTTAAGCTCTATCGATTGATAATATCTTCGAGTTAAACGAGGATTGGAGTAGGTTAGAGCGTATTTTACTAATATTCCATCCTTGGACAGCGGCATATACCTTTGACTCTCGTTGATAAGATCAATAGTCCGAGATCAAAAAAGATTTAGATGAGACAAATGGACGGAAAACGTGATCTCGTCTCATTCGTGGACCACTACCTCTGTAATGATGATTGATATAATAGAAAAAAGAACAGTGTGGTTTATAGAAATGAAATAAAATCTAGAAATTTCACAGTAATTTGCTGATGATGCAGTCAGTTTATCATGGAATTTCTAGTTAATAGCACATTTTTGTTTTCGAAATAATCATAATGGAGGATCGAAATCCTTCTTATCTTCTAAAACCTGAAAATTCAATATCTCAGCCCATAAAAATCATTGGTAGAGTAATCCTTTTAGGATTATTCTAACCTAGAGATCCCTTCTATGTGCCCAAAGTATGGGCTGAAAAGCAGTTAATCAGTTGGGGTACTTCCGTCGTTAGTATAAACTGTGTTCCAGAAATTCTGACACGTTCTTAAAATTGATCGTTCTTGCATTCAATAAAAGCAAAATCTTTGAAACTTAGGAAGATTATTGAACATGCTTAGTACTACATAACTAGAAAGCTTCAGGTCTATAGATTGTACTATGGATGAGAATTTCTGGAGCACTCCTTTATATATATAAACTTTATTTATTTAATAAATGGTCATATTTTAATACTTATTAATAACAGGTGTGATCATCAGAGATATAGAACACTTGTTGGATTTATTTTTTCTTTCTATTTAATGATATGTATTTATTGATGATTCATCTTTTTCAATATCTTCTCATTTTATCGAAGCTCTATTAATTATCTTCTCTCATTAACATAATTTTTTTTCTCTTTTCGTCAAGACAATCTTTTTTCTGGACAATTTCAGAGTTAAACTGAAGAAGTCTTGCCTTGGAGAGAAACAAATAAACAATAGAGTCATTTCACTATCTAACATTTTCAAAGCGAGTCTTATAGTCAGTAGAAAGAACAGCAAAAACACTTTTTATCAGAGTTTGTACATGTAAATATTGCCCTTCTCTAATTCCACATTGACATATGCCTAAATAGGAGGGTTGCCACCAACGACTTAATGAAAATCTCTTCATCTCCAATTGAAACTTCTACATAATGATTAATCAATTGAAGAAAGATAATGTGTTGAAAATAGCAACGATGAAACATCTTTACAATAATATAAACAAGTCTCGACAAAATAAAAAGATTTATTTTTCAGAATAAATAAATTCTTAATTAAATGAAACGATATGAAAAAGATTATTTATCTCAAGATGAATATTTTAATAATATTAATTAAATATTAGAATCATATTTTGTTGAGGCTATCTTATCAACTATTCAATTATGCTCTCATTTATATTAATATAATAACATTTATCTAATACAAATTTCTATTGATTTTTCCTGATGAAATACTTCTGAATAAAATTTTTCGATGAAAGGATACAAAATCATCTTATTGTTTGAATGTAAACATATTTATTAATAGAAATAATTGAAGAATGTCTATGAATCCATCTATTGTTGTTTTTCTATATGGGAAAAATGGTTGATAGAATATCCTAAATATGACTATTTATTAAATAAAGTTCATATATTGTTTAGTTTTAGCTGTTTTTTTCTTTCTCTGTAATTCTAAATGATGTGACGTCTGTTCAATTAATGATTTCATCTATATTTAGTTGATTTTTTTGTTGTTAGATGATATATTTAAAAGTATATCTTGTAGAAAATAGTAATATAAAGTTTAGTTTGATAAATACTCTTAATGATCAAATTTACAATAAAAAGTTTCATTACTCAATAAGTCCTAATTATATTCTATAAGAGATTTTTTAATTTGAAATAAAAAAAAATAGTTTAGAGGTTGATATCCATTCAATATTTTCTATTTTTTAATAAAAGAAACAATAATTACCAGTTGTTGATCATAATTAATATCTTGTAGAAGAGAATTATTTTTCTAATAAATAAAAACAAATATTATTTTATTAAAAATAGTAAAAATTTATAACTTTTATCAAATAAATACTTCACACAGACGGACTTTCAGAGTGTACGATGTCTCTATCAAATTTTCATAGATTTTTCTCGTCTAATGAGAGAAATATTTCAAGTAATAAACTCCTTTCCAGTTCGGATTCTCTGCACAAGGTAGACCACAGTCATATATTAAAAACCCTAAAGGAATAAGTCCAATATACTTTTCCTCCAGAGTTATAGGCATTTTACTGTTATTTTAGCCTATAAAACATTTTTACGTCGAGACACTAAACAAGTTTTAGAAATGAATTTTTTCATTTCAGTCCAGGAAAACCCAGGTCAATGATTCCGATCTCCAAGAATAATCGGATTTCACTAGAACCGACAAGACAGATGCGGAAAAAGTCACCGTATCCGGCAGGAAAACACCGGAAATCACTGGAATACGAAAACAGTATTCCGGCTGGAAATTCCCCAATTTTTTCCGATGATCTCCCGCTGATTCCTACCGGATAGGACAGGAAATTCGCCGAAATCCATCAGAAAAGATCCGAAAATTTTCCGTCGGAATATTGGTTCCATGTTCCAGCAATTTCTGGTGTTTTCCTGTCGGAACCGGCTCATACTTCTTGACCTGGAAAGACGATATTAATATGTTATATTGATAATGTGTGTGTCAGTGTAATTCTTTTTAAACTATAATAAATGATTTAAACTACCACTGTCGGTCATATTTAAGTAAATATAATCATTTATTCAATGCAGAAACAGATAAAAGGTAATGTTTCCTAAACTAATAAACTTTTAAAAAACAGAAAAATTCCTAAAAAAAACATGATGGAGGAGGATGAAAATAGCTTCGAAAGTCTCTTCAAATTTGGCCCTTTTCTGAAAAGCTATATATAATTATATTCCGAAAGAGGAAATTCCGCTGCATCTTCCTATGGTAAAAACTCAACTTCAAACTTTTTTCTAAAAATTGGATTTTATCAAGGAATCCCCTTAAATTAGCTTAACCTGTTTGCAAGTGAAATAATCAAATCTGTTGTTGATGTGAATTAAAAAAAAAAGAATCTCTATAGAGATGCAGATCAGTATTTAATTGTTTACTAAATAATATATTTGAATAATTGAATAATCTAACCTGACTTCTACGTTCTAATGCACGTTCAGTTGTAAAAATTGGTAATCCGTGTCCACTTCGTTTTGCATATTTACTTGTAAATAATGAACCTCTTTCTGGTATCATTCGAGTTGTTTTATCCATCTAAATAAAAATAATATTTAAAACATTAAATAAACAGAACAACAACAAAAAACCAATTGTTTAAGGGTATCCCCATCCTTTTCTGATACAAAATTTTTGTTTTTTTTTTATTTGTGATTCTACATGCTAAAATAGTATTTATATAGTGAATAGATGTTCGTATTAAAAAATTCTTGTTTTCAAACATTAGATAATCTCGTTTCTCCAATCTGATATGTCCGATCGAGTTGAAGCTTTTTTCAGATATACTATACACTATTTGGAATGAATATTTATTTTTTTTTTTTTTGTTTCAAAAAATCTTGTTCTGTTGATTTTTGTTAGCTCTTAAAAAGAAGGTTCCCTAGTCCAAACAATGTCTAGTGCTTGTAAAAGTACTTTTAGTTTGATCAAACATACCATCTTGGAGAAAGGCAGACAAATATTGAGCAAGATTTATCTGCTTTGAAAATTTGAAATTTTTCTCATGATCCTTTTCCAGAAATTGCGGAAAAGGAGGGAGGGTACCCTTAAGTCAAAAAAAAAAAGTATGTATATCTATATTTATCATATATATAAATATGTGTAGTATCAATAAATGTGATATTGTTATTTAAATAAAATATTTTTTTTTGAACCTGATCAACAGCAAGTGAAAGTTTTAGTTGTGAATTAATATCAACTTCTGATGTAAATGGATACGATACACGTATTTGATGGTCATTATTATACTCATTTTTTCCCTAATGAAATTATTATTTCATATAAATATGATATCAATCGAAAGAAAACAAATAGATAATTCCACAACAATAAATTCTCACCAATTTAGATAATTTCATAGATTTTGAACGATTAACCTAAGTAATGAGTAGGTTATTGATTATATTAGTAAAAATAATATTTGATTAATATTATTGAAAAAATTTTTACCTGACGTTTACGATTTGATTTTTGAAGATGTTCTTCATTCGATTTATCAGTTCGTTTTTTTTTTGATTTTTTCTTTGTTATTGCTTTCTCTTTTGAATATGGTATATCAGGTAATTCACCACCTTCTGGATCACTATCTGAATCACTTGAACTAACATAAATTTTTTTTTTTTAAATTCAAATTATTATATTTAAAAAAAAATAAAACCTTGAAGCATCTTGATCATTGATTATTTCATGACATTGTGTTAAAATTTCTAAACAATTGCTTACGGAATTAATTGATATTACAGATTGATTTAATTGTTTTTCTTCTAAAAAATTTAGATTTATTAATAAAATTGAGAGAATAAAACTAACCGGGATAAAGAGAAGGTAATAATCCAAATGGAATTTTATTTTTATCTAATCTATGAAGAACATTTTTTGTTATATCCAAAAATATTGATTCTAATCGTCTACAAATAGAAATTTGTTTCTATTAATAGAAAAAAGAAAAAAGATTAATCGTTACGTTGAATCGTGTAGAACATCTAAATATTGTTTTAATGATTTACAAATACATTCTCCAAATTTTTCATAATCTTGTATATTAAAATGACATGGTCTTTCTCTTTAAGAAATAAATTCAATTGCAAAATTCACAAACAAACATTCTTAGATATTCAATCTCTTTGCATTTTTTATCTTTTCATTATAAGAAGATCTCGATCGGATATGAAAAAAAAAAAACTTGAAAAAGATTTGTTTTCTCTGACATAAACTGATGCTTCACGTGCTATAACATTGCTACACGTTGTACTGTTGAGTTGACACTTATGTGTAAAATTATTTTTTGAAGGTGAAAGTGAGAGTGGAAATACAAACACAAAAAAGAAGCAAGATCTAATAGACTCTCTTATAGGTATGTCTTTACTTTAATTGACTTTGTATAATTAGTAAAGACAGATATAGGATGACAGATCTCAAAAATATATCTTTCCTATAGGAGAAAATCTATTATAGATTTTGAATTATTTTCGAATTGATTTGCCTGATGAATTCTCTATTATCCAATTAATTAAATTGATTTATGTGAATAAAAAGAGATGATCAACATCTTAGAAATAACTTATATAGACAATGTTTTAAAAGGATTATTAACTAAACAAAAAAAAAAAGAGAATAAATATATTTTACACGTAAATATATCGATCAATCATCTTTTTTTATCGAGATAATCGAACTTTAAAAAGAGAATAGTTTTATTAACAAATCGATCAACTTGAGTTATCTGAAGTACTCATTATTTTGAGGTAGAACTATTGATTTTGGATGAAAACTTTTGAATATCCTATTGACACTGACGCTTATCAATAAGAAAAATCTCCGATTAAGAAAATGTTATTCGAATTTTTTTTCGAATGTCGACAAGTCTGTAAAACAATCATAAATTGAGAATGAATGTCTAACGGAATGAATCTTTCTCAGGTCTTTTTCATATCTCATCAAAGTTTCTTTATAATGAAAAGATAGAATAAAAATCGATTGAATATTTAAGTATGTTGGTTCATTAGATATTATTTAAAAAAAGAAGAAAACTTACACAATGCTTGTTCCAGCAAATGATGCTTCTAATGTAAAACTATTTTTTATTAACATTTCTTTCCACATAACAACACGGCCAGTTGATTCTTTACATCGATGTATGTGAAATTTACAATAATCAAATGCAAACATATCTGGTGCCTGAAAATTAATAAATAAAACATTTTATTTTGTCAACTTTTTTTTCAATTATATAAATTTATCGATGAAATTAGAGATACGCTTATTTGTTCAACTGATAAAAGCCTTATGAATTAATCCATTTAAGTTATTGACGGATCCGAGATATCAGTATTTTATTCGATTTATAGTTTTTATTTGTTCTTCTGGAATAGTGATATGTCTTACTAAATTTATCAACGATCTAAGTATATCGGTTTATGAGCACTTTTTCGATTTCTAACATGAAAATAATGTATTATCGACAATTTTTTCTCATCTATACCTATATTTATGAAGCATTAATGATCAGTAAATGAGAATACATTTATTTATATAATAGACAATCTGAAAATGATAGACAGTTTCATATTCGTTATGTAACATTCGAATCATACTTTTCAGACAATTTAACAATATCAATCTTATTGATAATTCATATTAAGAGTAGATTATATTGACTCTCATCACAATTATCTACAATACGTACATATTGTTTAATTAATTGAGTTCAATTAAATCAAAACTTATCATTTTTACAATCTTGATTAAATTCTTAATCAATCTGATATTTCCATAATCGATCATTAGTATTAGATAAAAAAAAAGACAAAATTAGTGGTTTTGTTTCAAGCAAAATTGAAATAATAGAATTCAATTCAGATCGATCAGCATTATTATCTAGAATATATTAGTTACTTGACATATCCTGATCGTCAAAATAAATATAAAGAGATCATCTTTCCAAATATCAGAAATTTAACAAATTCTTAGGTCCTAATTAATTCTAACAAAACTGAACAAAATTAAATGAATTAGATCAATTTGAACAATAGAAATCATTTAGATTTTACCGTTTTTGACATAATAAATGGTAAAACTCGAGCATATAAAAAATTTTTCATATCCGGTTGTGGTCCATCACATCCATCACAGCCATAGGCAAATACATTCGATTTTCGACTATGACCATGAAGATCACAAAAAGCCAATATCTATATAAATAGACAAAAAAAATCTCCAAACTTCTCTATTTCTGGTGTTTCATTAATATTTCGTACTTCTCTTCGTTCTCGTTGAAGATTTTGTATAAGTTCTTTTATATGATAAATAATAGGAAATGCTTGTTTACGTGGATGACGAAAATTGCGATTCATGTCTTTTCCTGTTAATGAACATCGATAATTACCAACAATAACACCATCAGGATTAAGCATTGGCACTATTTTAAATACTAATTCTGATCGTAATTTCTAATTAAAAACAAGAAGAAAAAAAAACTTTTTTTTTCTATTGAAATTTATTGAGAAAAAACAACTGAATTTATACTTGAGCAGTTTTATCATTCGATGTTATAAATTCAAGTAAACCGCGCATCATATAACTTGAATTTGTTTCACCTGGATGTATTCGTGCAGTAATAAAAACAATTTTTTTTTTATGTAATGGTACAGCTTAAAAAATTTTAAAAAATAAATTTAAGAATACAATTATTTATTTATTTTTTTTTGTCTTACATTCATCTGTTACAGTTATTATAAAACATGAATTTCCTGCTTGAGATTCACATAAAATATCTCGACGAAATATGTCACGTGATCTTGTCGTTGACAAATGTTCTAAATCATCTTTTAAATCTGTATATGTATATGGATAACAATGAGCTATATAACATGTATCACCAGAATGTGAAAATTCCTAAGATAAATTAAAAATAATTTCGAAAGTTTTTTGTTTTTGTTTTTAACATACTAATTGAAAATCAAGTTCATAATAATTAATATCTCGTTCAAGTAATGAATTATATGAATGTTGTTTGGTTTCAGAATAATTAATATGATGGCCAACACGATACCAACTTCGACATTCTTTTTTTGCATCAACTTCAGAGAATAGAAGAATTTGCATACCTAATTTATCAACAATTTATCTTATTTTATCAACAATTAATACATTTCAATTTTATTCTTACTATGACTTTTATTATTCTATTTTGTTAAATCATTAATTTAAATCAAATATTTAGATACGTGGATTATGCTTATATCGATTTTTTCAGAGACAATAACTCTTAAGCGAATTTTTTTTCTCTAATAAATATTCAATTAGATAACTGTTACTGATAGATTTTCAAGATATTAACTATATATATTTATATGCTAATTAATGACATAAATATTCTAGAATTTTGATTCAGAGATAAATAAACTACATAAAAGTTCTGCCTGCTATAGACGACCTCATTGTATGAACGCTGTGCCGAACACATAATAGAAGACCTGATCTCTTCTATTCTACGAAGAAGTTTAATTTAGTTATACTTTCTAATTTTTAAAGTAAGTTTATACTCTTATTATTGAGCAAATGTTTTTTTTTGCTTATTCAAATCTATTATTTGAATCAGTGGCTTACAAAAACAAAATCCTAATCATTATTGACAATTGAGATAAAGGTAATTGTCAGCAACAATATGATTGATGACAAATATCAAATGAAGATAAATAAGACTGTTTGCAAACAAAAACAGTGAAACCGATCGATTGTATTTATTTTTCTCTGAATAGAGTTACGACCATATTATATCACAGTTTTACTTGATTTAAACTATAAATATATGATCGTATACAGGTTCGATATTTTATATTTTAACTGTTCTATATGTAAAAACAAAAAGATAATTTTCTTGCTTTTGAGAAAAATTCCAAAAAATCCATTGGTATATTTAATTCTTTGAATTTGAGACTATTTATTAAGAAAAAAAAAAACATTAAAATTCGAAATTCTTTGTTTATTTTAAAGTCTATTATGAAATACACAATTTAAAATAGTTGTAAAATGCAGTTATTTTTAAAAAAATAATCTCCAATGAATAATCCAATGTCTTATTGTATATATTCAATAATAAATATATTCTCAAATTCTATTATGTGAATATGAACTGCTCGGATTGAAACGGTAAATAGAATTAAAAAATTCAATACTTATGCAAACAAATTGTTTAATTAAAGAATTTTGAAAAATCAAAAAAAAAAAAAAGAAGCTTACCATCACTATATAAACTACTTTTTTTCATTAAATTAATAATCCGAAAACGATAAGTTATATTTGCAATCATATTTTGTACACGAAAATAATACCATTGTGTATGTCTTCGAGTATAAAGATCAGGTCGAAGAATAAGTTCATATTCAAATTGACCTCTACAAAAATGAAAGTGTTACTTGAAAATCTCAACAAGAAAGAAAAAAAAATTTTGTTTTTTTAAATTTATTCTTACACACGTCTAACTTGTCGTAAATTTCCACCTTCAAATCGTGATTCAAATATTAATTGAGGACATGTTTGATCATAATCAGATTGTTTTATTTGTTGAACTCTTGCTGATTTATCCATATCATAAACGATAATAGGATGTTTTAATGTATCTTGATATTTATATATAGCTGGTTGATTATCATATGTTTGTCGATTATTGCTTTCTAAAAATCGATAAGATTCTTTTCAATCTTTTATATTTTATTTCCTAGATAAATGTGAAAGTGTTGCATATTTAATAGGATATTCTCTTGGTCAAAATGGACCTGAATTATTAACATTTATTTTCCATGGTGAATATAATAAAAAACGTTTATTATGTAAATATTCTTTTATTGAATTAATCAAATAATCATATTGTTCATTATAATAATAATAACAATAATCTTATCAAGAATTAATTAATTGTCCACAACGCATTTTATTTTACTTAATCAATTTCATCTACTTTTACTTTTTTTTTCTCTTCATCAAACGTTAAAAAAGAAAATCATCAAACTCAAAAATAAACATTAGATTTGTCAACACTCGTTTTTTTTTCTTTTCTTACTTGTGATTGATGATGATAAATAAAATTCTTTTGGTATCAATTCCCGACTAAGAAATTTTGGTGTTGGATGAAGAATCTGATAATTATCTGGCCAAAATGGACCATCTTCATCAATTCTAATACCATGTTTATTAACATAACTATTTTTATAATCACCATCAAGTAATTGTTGATCGAATATATTTAAAATAGATGCTTTATTAGATTTAATTATACTATTACCAAATAAAATTGATGAATCATTTGTATTTGAAATAATCGATGATTGTTGTTTATTTGTATATTTTTGAATATATATTGATGGATTTATATTTATTTCATCATCTGTAGTTTGTGATGATTCTGGTAAACGACGATAACTATGATAAGAATTTAAATAAAATGGTTTATCTGATAAATCATTTAATGTATTATGATGATTATTAGTTGAAAAATGATTTTGTGATTGTGATATATGTTTTGATTTAGCTGGATTAAGAACATTTTCATTTCGACGATTTATTTCATTCCATGTATCAATAGATTCTTGTGATTTTGGTGGTGAACATTCATCAACACTAGTTTTTGAGAGAGAAGATAAATAAAAATTAACTCCTTTTATTCGAAAGATCATCGACATTTTAAAAAAAACAAATTTTTTTTTTAAATAAAATAAAGTTTGGAAAAAAAGAAAAAAGAAAATTGTTTCTTCTTTTTCTTATTTGATTACTCTTTGTTTCCGATAGGTAAGATATGAGGGGAAAAAAAATAAAGCAATCAAATAAATCTTTTTCCTTCTAGCATATTTTTTTTTCTCTTTTGATCAATTGGAAGTTGAATGAGAACTTTATTTAATTTAATTATTGTTTTATTTTCAACAAAAAATATTTCGAATAAAACAAAAATAAAAAATTCAAATCAATATGATCAATACTCTTGAAAATTAATTTATGTCGTTAGTCAAGAAATATTTTTCTTTGTCTAATATATGAATAAAATAATATAAAAAAGTTCCCGAATATTATTTTAATCTTATTTTTATAGTTTATTTTTAATTTGTCGGTTTTTTGCAAATATAAATATTTTTTTCATATTTGTTTATTTATTATTCGATTAAAGAATCCTTTTTAACTTAGAAAAATATTTTATGTCTCATCTTTTAACTATATGAACTTATTTACGATAATAAAATAAGAAATTTTTTCAAAATAAATCATCTTATTATCGATATTTAATCTATAAAGTTCCTACATAAAAAGATTTAAGATAGACAAATATATTTAATTCGATAGAAGATATTTAAATATTTATCTATGTAGTAATGAGAAATATCGAATATGTGAAATTATGATTGTTAGATATTTATCGAATGAAACAATATGATTATCCTATTTATAATTATAGTTAATTTAAATTAAATATTTTAAAATAATCATTAGTTTTTTTAATATCTATTATATTTAATATAAATCGATATTTGATTATGTCAAAATATATTCTATATCAGAATATTTATTCAACTTAATTGCTTTAGACTCTTATTATATCGTTAATAAATGACGAAATAATGTTTTTTATTTGATTTTAATTTCGATTCGATGTTTTATTTTTCTATCCGATAAATAAAAAATAAATTCTCAATATAATAAATATTGATTTATATAATTAAGTTTATTTCTTACCGAATATATTGTCGTTGGAATTTAGATAAACGTTCTTGTCGATCAGTTTCTTCAAGAAGTTCTCGTACTTGTCGTTGAAGATCTTCTTCTAATTCTCGATGAATATTTGCACGCCATTCTTCATATGAATTAGTACCTTTTTTTTTAAAATTAATATACAAATTATTAACAAAAACAAAACAAAAAACAAAAAGAATATTGGTTTTTTTTTTGTTGAAAGTTATTTATCCTACCGAGTTTAATATTCGAAGATCTATCACTATGAATATAACTATTTGACGAGGGAAGAATATGGGGTAATTTAAAGGTGGGTACTTCCATTTATTCATTAAACAGACGTCGTCGGTAATGATGTTTTTTCAACATACATCAAAAAAGATTTTGTAGATGTCGAAAATTTTTTTTCTCTTTTTCACTACTCAACTTTTACCACTTGAATTTCATGTTTTTTTGAATACATACAAAATGTCTCTATATACCATCAAGTAAGAAAAACGAATAAGTTGTTTTTTTATTGCACCAAATAAAATTTAAGGTTGTTGTTAAGTGCAAGCAACTGACACCATTTAAATGCTCACTTTTTTTTTTCAACAAAAAATAAAATTATATGGATTTTGTTAAATAGTTATTAACTAATTTATTTTTTATTGCTTCTCTTACTCTTCGAATTTTTATTTACAGATAAGAAAAAAATATATATATATATATATATATAGTGAAACGTATTTAAACATCTCTGAACTATTCAAGTTTCTTTTTTTGTTTTTTACCTTGTAAATGTTCGAAAAAAATTTGTTTGACATGTTCACCTATATTTATTTTGATATTTTCATGTCGATTTTGTTTAATGTCTATATTTGACATTGTTATCCACCATTTATCTTGACGTGTTACCATTTAGTTTTTCTTTCTTTCTAATAGACTAATTGTAGTGAATAGCTTTAAGCAAATAGAAAAAAGAAAAATTTCTCTAATCGTAATAAAGAAATTTTTCTTTTTTTGATTGTACTTACCGCACTAAAAAGAAATGTGAATTTGAAATGAAATGAACAGTTACATAATTATTATTATTCTTAGATTTCAATTGGGCTTCTGTTTATCTTGTTTCATCAACAAGTCAACCGTTATTACAATAATCAATTCATTTTTTTTTTCTCTCTCTTTCTTTCTCGTGTTCTTTCCATTTTATGGGGATGAGAAATCTATTCAAATTCTAATTAATCTCTCAAGGTAAAACAAAAAAAGTGATCAAACATTTTTTAATAACTATTTAATTATAAAATGATTCGAATTATATTTTTATTAAGATAATTAATATATTATATAACAAAAAATTCTTTTTTTATATATTAAAATAATTAACATAGAAAGATTTGAATTTATTCATTATTTCGATTACTACAGTTAATTATTAGATGAGATTTTTTTCTTTTGAAAATAAATCTTTTTTTATGAATTTAAAAAAAGTTATCTAGAAAATTCAATTCAGATATTATAGAATAATTAATCTTTGACATAATCAGAATATTTCATGTTCGAATCTAATTTGGAGGAGATTTTTATTTGTTTTTTTACAATTATAGTAGACATTATCATTTTTATTTAAAATAAAAAAAAAATATTTGAATTATTTCATCTATTAGAATATTTAATAACGATAGAAAAATGAGTATGTAAATTGGTGAAAATGTGTACAGTTTTATTATTATCCTCTCGTTTATAGAATTCTTCTATTGTTATTTATTCTATAATTTGATAATTAATATTATATTCGATCTATCTATTCTAATCATTTCTAAATAGGTTTTACTCATACTAATTATTATAATTAAAAAAAAAACAAAACTATTAAAAATTGTTTGATGAGTGATAATGTCTAAAAGTGAAAGAGTCGATTGTCTAAAATATGAAATTGATACCTGGATTTAATTGGTAAGATTTTCTCTTGGTTTGTGATATAGATAAATTATCATACCGAAAATAAAGAGAACATCGAACTTATTCTTTTGTATTTATTGTTGAGATTATTTTTGTTTGCTCTCTTATTTCTATTCTACATACAAATTTCATCACTTCTCTTACTCGACGATTTTTTTTGTCTCAAACAACAAAAGTTTATTGAGAAAACTGAAAATTTGTTTCATCTATTAATATCTCCTTGAAAATAATATTTATTCTAATACTTGTTTTCCTATTATTATGTTTTCAATTCGTGAATAGTTGTTTAGTATCTTTTCGTAATCGATTCTAGATGAATATATTTTTCTATTGTACTATAGTAGACTCTTGAGCAAATTTAAATAGAACATTCATATGACAAACTATTTTCAATTATTGTTATAAACAATAATTATCATAACAGTAATTCAATGAAAATCGGATTTTTTTTTTAAATTTATACTTATGAGAAAACAGTAAAATGAACAGAACAAACATTCTTTTACATTAGAAATCTTACTATAACCTTCGTTCGAAGGTCTTTAACAACACTAAACGATACTTGAAGACTGTTGTTGACTTACGTCTATATTTACAATAATTGTCTTAAATTTATAGTGTCATTTATTATCGAATATAATAAGTCATAGAAAAATGTTTTCATCTAAAAGACATTACAAAAAAGTACGAAAATAAATTATCTTAGAATTCAAAATAAACAAATAATCATACCAAGATAAACACAATAGAATATTTTACTTTCAATTAAATATTAATACATTAAACTAATTTACACTTTTATTAATGAATTATTTATATTTAAGGATGAAAATCATCGAGTTAACAAAGTTATGAAAGTTTTATCAATGTAAAAATAGAAGACCAAACAATGATAGATATTCTCAAAGAATAAATAGATCTTTTAAAATAATCTATATATTCTCTTTAGTTTTATTAAACCAATAAATAAAAGTCACTTGAAAAGTTCGCCAGAAAAAGATCAATTTGAATAAATTTCAAACAATTCAACTTTTATTCATGAACTTTCTATAATTTGATTCAACATTTTTCAATGTTTGCTTTTGATATTATTTAATTTTCGTTGATTGTTAAAAATGAATATCGAGAACGGAAAGATAGAAGTCCATTATTTTCAATCATTTGAAAAAAGATATTCGAAAGAATTTTATAAAAAATCATTTTATTTTCGTTACTAATTCGTTTTGTTATTTCAAGATAATTTTTAGTCAATATCTTGTAGATATTATCTGTCATTCGTCCCCATTGAATAAATTCAAATGATATCAACTGACATAATCATAAAGTTCATCGAATAGAATCACTTATTTAAATCTAATATGGTCAAAAAATATATATCTCACAAATTGATATTGTTTATCATTCGAATCATAAGAAGTCTTACTTTATTCAGATCTTTCATCATTCAATATCCTATTGAACAAACTTTGCAAACAGTTAGAATACTTTATACTAATACACTTGTAATATCAACATCAACTTGAGCAAAATTTTCTTTTGTATGATTACTGGAAGATGTTGAGAATATGCTTGGTCTATTACAATGATCAGTTTGATAAAAAAAATTGAGAAAACTCTTTAATATTATTTTGATTTGGTATTTACCTGTCAAATTAGTCTATCATTTTACGTTTCATAACCATCGATGACTTAAACTTGTATACGAATAGAATAATTTATATTCTCATGTGTTTATAATTATAGTTATTTTATCTGATTTATATTGAATAAAGTTTCGACGAGTATGAATGACAATCAAATGATGAAAGGAAATATATTCATTGATTTAATTGATGAAAATTTATTTATGTTTTATTTTTTGTTAGACTTTTGAAAGACTATAGAAAACTATAAATAGCTTTTGTTAAATGAAAAAGATTTATATCAATTTGACATAGATTCAACAAACTATGCCTTTCGTAAACAATATTTCTCAGTCTGAGATAGATTTAAAAAAAAATGAAATATGAATTATATATTAAGTTGAATATTGTCATTAACTAGAATTCTTGATTATTTGAGAATTTGTTCCATAAAGTTTTATTTCTCGAAAAATCCCAATGAGACAATATGTAAAAAGGTTGAGTTGAATAAGAGAAGTATAGATTTAAAAAAGAGGAAGAAGAATAAATATTTATTTGATTTGTTGAAGACGATTTCGAATAAGATCTTCAAGTTTTTGAGCATCAACAGCAAATTTTCGTATTCCATCAGCTAATTTCTCATTAGCCATTTCATCTTCATTTAACATCCAACGAAATGTTTTTTCATCGAGTTTTTCATGTTTTTTATCACGTGCACATTTTGGATGTTCTTTATGTAAATAAACTTGAATTTTTTCATTTTCTTTCGTATTTTCTGATGCTAATTGATCAAGTAATTTAGGAGTTATTGTTAATAAATCACATCCAGTTAAACCAAGAATTTGTTTTATATTACGAAATGAAGCAGCCATAATAACTGTTTTTATATTATGATGTTTATAATAATTATAAATACGTGTAACACTCATCTAAACATAATATATAAATAAATATATAAATAAAATGATTTACTTACAACACCAGGATCTTCTTCAATATTATATTCATATATTCCTTTTTTTTCAACAAACCAATCAAAAATTCTTCCAACAAAAGGTGATATTAATGTAACGTTAGCATCAGCACATGCTAATGCTTGTACAAAAGAAAAAATGAATGTCATATTACAATGTATACCATATTTATCTTCTAATATTTTAGCTGCTTGTATACCTTCCCATGTTGATGATAATTTAATTAAAATACGTTCTTTTGATATACCACGTTTTTCATATAAATCAATTAAATGTCGAGCTTTATCTATTTGTCCTTGATAATCAAATGAAAGACGTGCATCAACTTCAGTTGAAACACGACCTGGAATTATTTTAAGAATTTCTTCACCAAATCAAATATATATATTATCAATTATATCATCAATTATTGTTTGTTCATATGTTATTGATGAATTTTTTTCTCGAGATTTATTAATAACATCTTCAATTAAATAATTATATTCTTTCATATTAGCAGCTGATAATATTAATGAAGGATTTGTTGTTGCATCTATTGGTTTAGATTTTTTTATTGATTCAAAATCACCTGTATCAGCAACAATTGTTGTTGATTGACGAACTTGTTCAAGAAGATTTGCCATTTAAAGTTCTTATTACTTATTTTTTAATATAGAACAAAGATAAACAAATTTAATTACGCTTTCTTTTTTTTACTTATTTACTAAATAAGAAATATTTCTTCTCTTACAGATTTATTTTTATTGTCTTCAACGTACATAACTACAGTAATCATGATATTGCAAATATAACTTATTACCACATCATCATATTATTTAGTAAAATATCGAATCGTTTACTGATCAATTGGTTTTTCGATATAAAAATAAGAATATTTTCTAATATTATATTTAAGATGAGCATCCGATGAATGTACAGGGTATATCAGAATTCTAGACATCCCTGTGCTATATACAAAAACAAATAAATATGTATCTTCAAAAGAGATCTAATTGTTTAATTCATATGTTCGTTAGATATATGAATCTATGTAGCACATAGACATGTCTATATATAACATAGATTCATATATCTAACGAACATATAAATTAAACAATTAGAATTCTTTTGGAAGATGTATATTCATTTTTTTTCTATATAGGACAGAAGAGTCTAGAATTTTGATATATCCTCTACAAATCTCATGAAAGAGAAATTATACAAAACATAGTTTCATAGTCAAATTTTAGAAAGAAGAATGTTATTTTTGCGTTTAAGCACGTTTTTTTAACTAAAAAACACCGCTTGAACGTGTTTTTGTCTCTTCAATTAATGCTATTTAAAATATCGTTCGAGTACCGTTTACTTTTAAGCGTTTGACTCG